GTTATCCCTCTGGTTCCTTACCAACTGGTCCCTCATCCCTCTGGTCCAAGTCTAAGGTTGTCAAGAAGACGTTTGTCTTTGGCAACCTTGATTTCTGGTGCCACTAAAATGCCGGATGGGAACAGAATCAAAACCACAAAGTTTTGGGGATATTTGTTTGTTTGTTTTCTTTTGTTTTGGGCCACACCTGGTGGTTCTCAGGGCTTACTCTGCACTCAGAAATCAATCCTGGAAGGCTCAGGGGACCATACAGGGCGCTGGGGATCAAACCCAGGTCAGTGATCAAACCCAGGTCAGTTGCATGCAAGGCAAGGACCCTACCCTTCTACTATGGCTCTGGGCCCTGTGTTTCTCTTCTCCAGATAAATTAGCAAGCAAGAAACGAAAGCCAAGGATAAAGTGCCATGATAATCACTGGAATAGATTCAATATGTGGTATACATGTCCCAATATGATGTGCCATATACATAGACTCAGGGTACGCTAGAAGCCATATGAAACAGAATGGAACTGTTGTGTCTTTTCCATGATCTTAATTTCCAAGATCTTTCTGTAAGAAGGGATATCTCTCACCCATGCAATTGATAGGACTTTTAATTATTTTTTCTTAGAGAAATGTAAGGGGAGAGAAAAAGAGAAAGATACACAGTCAAAAGAGGGCACAGACTTCTTCAGAGGAAAAACTGAGAGTACACATCTCAGGTTTAGATGTGAAAGGTCTCCAAAGTGAATAATGAACCCTGAAAGCATTTACAAGACTGATTTTGTAGTAAGACCTCCTTCCTCCAATCTGCCTTGGCCAGGATTTCTCTGCATATAGAAAAGTTCACCTAGGTGTTGTCCCAAGGGAAAAGCCTTGGACTCTTTAAAGCCTTTTCATATTCTTAATAGGACACTTAGAGGCTATAGAAGCTTCTCCTTTTCCCAGGGGGCTTACCTTTCTCTGGGGGGAGCCTCAGTTTCTGCATGTGAAGGCTAATTAGTTCATTTTCTCATTCCCAAAGAGTTCGGCATTTGCAACTCAAAAGGATGTGGTTTTCAAGGGTAAGATCACTTTAAAAATTGTTTTAATTGAATTACAGTAATATACACAGTCACAAAGTTGTTCATGGTTGGGTTTTAGTCATGCAACGTTCCAATACTTGCCCTTCAGCAGTGGACATTGCCCACCACCAATGTTTCTAGTTTCCCTTAGTTTCCCCAGACCCCTGCCTGACCACACCACAACCCTCTCTCTTTTTTACTCTTTTCTTTCAGCCCTTATGGTTTGCAATACAGATAACAAAAGGTTATCAGGTATATCCCTTTCCCTACTTTCAACACTCAGTTCCTGTCTGAATTATTATTTCCAACTACTATTGTCTTGTTTGTCCCTTTGTCTCTATCCTATCTGCCCTCCACACCACACACACTTTTGTGGCAAACTTCCAATCAGTGACCAGTCCTCCAACCCTTGGATACAAGTCCTCTGGTAAGGTCACTTTTTAAAGCACTTCTCAAAGTCATATGTACCCTGGTCTCATATACTAAGCGAAACACTGCAACTCTACCATCATAAATATTTAACTTATACGTACATCTTTCAGCAACTTGTGAAAGTAGATTAGTTCTATTGTTTAGGAGATACACTAAATCAAAGTGAGAAAAAAATGTTTCTTAACCTTTTCCTTATAATGATGGTCTTGGGACACACCCTCTGTCTAAGGTAGTGGTTTCTATCCCTGTCAAATCAGCACTTTACTCTGCAAAGCATGCTGTGTATATTGCAAGAAGAATAATTCTTCTTTTCTCAGTGTTTCCACCTGGGAATATCAACTGGGTCAGCAGAAGATTAAAAACCATGACACAATTATGGCATCATAGAACTGCAGAAGACCACTGAAAAGATAAGGAATCCTCTTTCCTGGTTTTCTCCCTACCATACCACACACAGCTTCCCATTTGAGTCTTTTCGTTGACAATGAGCACTTCATAAAGCCACACACTCCATTTATGGACTGCTGGATAAGCAGCTCTAATTATAAAAATGTGGGCCCTGTTTTCTCTCTCCCTCTCTCGTCTCAACACCCAGTCATAGTTCTCTGGAAGAAACTGATTAGAAGAAAACAACACAGGTTGCATTGCAGGCATAGTTAAGTGGCCTTGCTTTTCTAGCTGATTTATTTTTTTTTCCCTTTATTTTATTTTATTTTTTTTAAAGTTGTAGATTTACAATTTTTTGTGCTTTGGTTTCAATTATACAATGATCAGATACCCATCCCTCCACCAGTGCCCATTTTCCACCACCATGGATAATATCCCTCCCACCCCCATCCCCCCATCCCTCCTGTCTCTGTGGCAGGGCAATCCCCTGTGTTCTCTCTCTCCTTTTGGGTGTTGTGGTCTGCAAAAGAGGCATTGAGTGGCAAACATGTTCAGTCCATAGTCTACTTTCGACATGCATCTCCCCTCCTGGGAGGATCCTCCAAACATCCTTTATTTGGTGCTCCCTTCTCTATCTGAGCTGCCCTTTCCCCTAGAATGCCCGGCTGGCCTCTAAGTTATGGAGTAATGCTCCTGGTGCTGATCTCAGCTATTCTTGGGTATTAATCTCATACTTTGTTACTTTATATCCCCCAGATGAATGCAATCTTTCTATGTCTATCCCTCTCTTTCTGACTCATTTCGCTTATCTAGCTGATTTATTTACATGAAGAATAAACAAAACACAAACAAAAGGGGTGAACTACAAATGTAAATATACCAAGCCTCTTCCATGTGTCTAGCACTGTGTCAATAAATTAAAAACAGCAGGAAGTCAAAGATATCACCATATTTCCAAAAAGCTTAAAAATATGTCTGCCACGTTAGCTACGTGGAACAAGTTCAAAATTGGTGGAATACACAGTATATACACAAATACAAAGTTGTTTATAGAGAATAAATTTGCAAAAGTTCACAGGATGATCCTAAGAATTTTAAGTGACATCACCCAATAGCTGGCTTGTGATCAGCCTTGCTTTGGAGGACAAGCGAGACTTAGAAAATCACAGGAATAAGAATTGTTTTAGAATAGACCTAGACTTAAAAGAAAATTTGATGGCGGCTCTAAAACACATCAGGTGAGACTGTGTTGGGAATTCTAACGTTATTTTTAAAAGCAAAGTCCGTGGAAGTGCAAAAAGAAACTTGACAATTTAACATCAAATCCAACATGAGCAGAGATGGAAAAACACCATCATATCATAGAGCAATCTACTGAGAAAATTGAATTCCCTCCTAAACTTAGGGATTTTTTCCAACTGACTGAATAAACAATGTGCATTTTCTCTCTCAAAAAAAGATGTTACAGAATGTTGTTAAGGAGCTCTTCTCAATTTCTGTCATCTTTAATATCCCCATTATACACAAATAAAAAGCTCTCATCCCACTGATTACAGTTTAATAAGTGTGTACTCTTTTGTACATGTACAAATGTCCTTTTCCTTCCTCCCAGAAGATCATATAACCCTTCCAGAGATCTACTTAGCCACCTGATTAATTACTGGACAACTATGTAAATTACTGTAAAGACTGAAATGATCATTTTATCACTTATTCAGCTAGATAAACATTTACAGTGGAACATTTCTGACAAAGCAATTTGTATAGCCCTCTAATATAAATGAAGGTGCATGAAAGCTATGGGAAGTCTTTAATAATAAGAGTCCAAAATAATTTGCTAGCTACAAACACTTCCCTAAGCAATTACAATATGCTCGGTGTTAATTTAGGAAGGAATTCCAAACAAGGCATTTAAAACCTAATAAGATGCCATTAAATAAAGGGAGAAAAGGGGTGTGTGGGGGGGAGGGAAAGAAAACCCTAAGGCCTGAACTGGGAGAAATGATTCTCAGAGCTACTGACCCTTGCAAGATTCACACTTTCTCTGGATTTCTAGACACAAAGCACATTTCTAATTGAAGGTGATTATCTAGTTTCTACATCCCAAATTACATTTACTTCTTGCATTGAGTCACATCAATAGCTAATTATATAGAGCATTTATCAATTCGAAAGCCCATGGAACGGAGCAGTATATATCTACCAAGTGTGATGTCTTTTGTGATAACAATCTGCCTCTAGTACCCTCCGTAGGGATATCTGAGCCAAACTGCATAGTGCCGATCAGATGGGAATAAATTTGACAAAGAAATTGCAGGCAGAAAAAGCATCCAGTTTGCTCTTGAGTTCCCTGAGACATGAACACACATATGCATGGTTACTGTATTAATAGAGAACTTCACCATGAGATTTTTTTAAATGAAATATAAAATTCTAAAATCTGAAAAGCAAATTCCTATGCAGCTAAACTTGTGTAGGAATCCCTATAGACTCCTAACTTGACTTAAGAGCTGTGTTACTCCACACAAGGCAAGAGCTTGATAAAGACTTATAGAGAAAAACCTGTGTGGTGCCAAGTCCTCTGTAAAATATAATTTTCTTTAGTTAGGTTAATTAAGATTAACATAAAAGTCATTGAAAAACTCCGAAGTAGACAAAAGACAATTTATCAAGGAAACAAAGACAAGAACAGAATTTACTCAGAGTCACTCATACAGTAGATTGGAAATAACATCTAATTAAAGCTTAAATTTTCACCATTGATTACCAAAATGACGTGTCCAAATAGCTTTCAAGCGGCGAAGAGAAAATTATTTTCTCAGAAGTGTTTTAATGTATGGGGATGCAGACAAAAAAACAAGGATGACTAATCACAGCATAATCATTGCCATCTAACAGTTAATAAGCAGACATGAAGCACTTTCATGAAGCACTCCTCTTGGGAACCCAAGTTTGGCATTTTCCACAGTTAGCTTAATGCCTCCACCCCATACACAAATGCTAATACCTTGTACTCCTAGTGAAACAGGTCACAAAGAAGCATGCACAGCAATGGCTTATGCGTGCAACAGAACTGGACTCCAGTTACTCAAACTGAAGGTTAACTATTATCACTGAAGAAATGTCTCTATCCTTACCTCAAGGGTCATGCTGACAGTACTAATGGCCACTTTTATTTCTCCATCTGACAGTTCTTTTATATCTTTAAGCATTGCCTGTTCAATACTTAAACCTGTGGAGGAGAGAGAAAAATAATATTAGGGATGGGAAACTTTCTTTCTCCTTTTTGTCATATCAAGGGACTACTTAAAGAACTCCTTAATGGGGCTGGCGGGCTAGCTCAAGTGGTATGGCAAATGCCTAATGTGTGAGAGGTCCTGAGTTCAGTTCCCGAAGCTCCATGGTCCCCAAGCACCACCATATCCCACCAGATCATGGCACAAACTTCTGGCATCATCAAGAGTGACTCTGGGGAAGGGAATGCCAAGAAAAGGGTATTTTGAGGACCCACTTGGGATGGGAGATATGTGCTAAAAGTAGACTATAGACCGAACACGATGGCCACTCAATACCTCTATTGCAGACCACAACACCCAACAGGAGAGAGAGAACAAAAGGGAATGCCCTACCATAGAGGTGGGGTGGGATAGGGGGTGGGAGGGATACTGGGATCATTGGTGGTGGAGAATGGGCACTGGTGGAGGGATGGGTGCTTGATCATTGTGTGACTGGAATGCAAGCATGAAAGTTTATAACTCTGTAATTGTACCACATGGTGATCTAATAAAAAACTTAAAAATAATAAAAAAATGAGGACTCACAACTAGAAATAGTTCTAGTTCTGGGTCAAAGAAACAACTTGAGGTTAAGGAAAGAAGTGCATGAAAAAAATACCCAAACTCAGATTATCAAAGTAAAATGGAGGTCACCAGATGACAAGTTTCTAGGCAGCGAGCAAACAGTAAAAGGGTTCAAGTGTATGGTGACAGACAATTGACTTTTACTGGATATGATAATGTTCCGTACAAAGATATAAACAACTGTCCTGTATATTCCAAGTCTAATTAATATCAATTAATGATCCTTCAACAAAGTTTTGGCTAATAAAAAAGGACTTGTAAAAAAAAGAGAGAGAGACTCTGGGTCCCTGGAACTACAAAAACACTGACCTTGCTCATTCAATATTTTTCTATCTAATAATATTCCTATTCAAAATAAATGCACACATACTAAGGAAAAATATCACAATGGTAATTATCTTTATTACTTTGGATTCTCTCCAGAAAGAGAATTCACTCCTATGAAGCGAAAGTAAGAGTCTTTACTGAGTGGTTATCTACAGACATGTAGGTGGGATGGAAAAATTAATAGAAGATGGTGAGATATCAAGAAACTAGAAAAGGGGTAAGGGAAGGAAGCAGATTTCTGGGACTATAGAGAAAGGGCTGCAAGAAATGTGAACAAAATCAAGAAGAGGAAAGAAACAATCTCTCTTCTCCTTCCCTTGACCTCCAAGCCCCCATATATAGCTAAAATTTCCCACAGATCAAATCCAGTCAGAAGCTAGCAATCCTCAGGGGAGCCCAGAGTACTCAGAAGTTAATCTTCTGGAAGTCTAAGACAGATGTGGATGGAGATAAAATGGGGTTGGGGGTGAGCGGGGCTGGGAAGACCATATAATTCTAAACAAACTCAAAATTAGCCTTGAGAATGCTTTTTGATGAATTGATGTTACTTTATTCCAAACGTTCTTATAGTTATGACCCACAGAACTATCATAATTATCCTTACAATAACAGCTGTCAATAGTAACCACTGAATTACTAAGATACTATTTCTAGCATCTTACAATCTGAACAATTACCATCTGAACAATCCAGATGGTGAAACTATTCAAAACCACATAGTTTTCATCAATGACCAATATGTTTCAGTAAAATGTGTCTTGACATTTAATTTTCATTTTAGGTTGTCACATTTTATTAGGCCTAACTTCTTGGGAACAAGATTTCTAATAAAGCTCAATAAAGCACGTATGTCCTTACCAGATGCATGTTTAGACATGAGAGACAGAATTGTGTCAGTCACAGACATATGGGGAATAGAAAGCTACTGAATCTGTTTATTTAGCCCAAATATTTAAAGACCACAATCTATCACACGGAAACATAAAAGCATTTATGGGATATATTGTGACATTAAAAAGTTTAGTGTAGGGCCTGGAGATAGTACTGAGGTTAAAGTGTATGCTCCAGTTTGAATTCTCAGCACCACAGAGGGCGACCAGAGCACCACCAGGAGTCACTCCTGAGTATAGAGTCTGAAAAAGCTCAGAGAACCACAGAAGTGTAGTTTAAACCACGAGCCCTTTTCCTCATCCTCACCCTCCACAAAAAGTTTGGTCTGACAAGACTCAAACTGTACCAACATGTTAGTAATCTCTTGTACAAGAGTTTAATGTCTCTGGGGGTATGTACCACCAGTAGGTCGACCTGCACCTGCAGGGTGAGTGCATCAGCAGCCTGATGGTGCCTTCAGGCTTCCTGGTACCGCAAAATTGTCAATTTGCCTTTGACTGGACCCCAACAACTTGGGTCCAAGTTTACCAAGAAATTAAACGGCCGAAAGTTAGGTATGGGGGAGCCACACCCACAAACCACCTCCAGCTCAGCTATACAAGCTCATTTATTGGCCTTATTTCAGAGACACATAAATCTCAAAAGAGATCTAAAGTCATAGTTAGAGCAGGCAGTGCAGTGCACTGGGGGCAAGCGAGTGTGCCCTGCAGGGCATAAACTAATAGCTCATTTCTCTGAAAAAGATGGAAACAAGGGCCATGATCCAGAGACACACAAAAGAATCTCTGAATCGAGCAGTTCACTGCAGAGATGCCTCCGAACTTGAAGCCAGTCCGACTTCACTGGGGTGCCTCAGATGGGGGCAGGCGTTGTTCCTCTACCTGCCCCCTAAAAACCCAAGTGGCCACAAGCTTCCAGAACCCAGAGAGAAGTTCAGTACGTGGAGGTTCAGTAATGGCAAAACTCCAGGCCTCAAGGGTTAGGGGATGGGTCGGTCCCTCTCATTCCCCCATCCTTATGGGACCCTGTAGATCTTGCCCATAAACTGCCTACAACTGCTACTTAAGCTCCCTACTGGCCACGATCCAGAAACACACAAAAGAATCTCCAAACCCAGCAGCTTGCTGCAGAGATTTCTCCAGACCCTAATTATCTAAAATTTTAGAATTCCAGGAGCAATATCTTGTACTATTCATAACAAGCCATACAAAAGAGTATGGGGGAGATTGTCTGCCATTGAGGCAGGTGGAGGGGTGGGATGGGGAGAAATATTGGGGACCTTGGTGGTGGAAGATGTGCACTGGTGGTTGGTTGGGTGATCGACCATTGTATGACTGAAACTCAAACAGAAAAGCTTTGTAACTGTATCTCACAGTGACTAAAAAAAAATAATAATAATAAAATAAAATTAACATTCTGAATTTAAAAAAGTAATGCGGAGTTCATGCCCAATTTAATCAGTTAATCAATGGCTGAATAAACAGAAGTACTCCTACATTTAAAAAAAAGAATTTAATATTTCCAGGATGAGAGAACAATCTTCACACACTTTCCTCTAAGGAAAAAATTTTTGGATCATTTTTAGTGGATTATTCATAACAAGAAATACATAATAAATTATTTAGGATCTGCCCTTGGAGCAGGATTGTGTGGTGGTGGGAAAATCCAAAATAATGGTGGTGAGAAGGCATAATGGTGGTAGATTTATGTTGGAATATTGAATGCAGTAGATTATTGTGAACAACTTTATAAAAATTAAGTGTACAACAGGAAAAATTAAGTGGGGCAACAGTACAGCAGCTATCCCATATATCTTGCATGTAGTTGACCCAATTTCTATCTGCCACCCAATCCCTCCCAAGCCTTCCAGGAGTGATCTGTGAGCACAGAGCCGAGAGTAAGTCCTGAGAACCGTTAGATGTGCCCCCTGCCCCCCGCCCCCATGCATGACATGGCTGCATAACCATCCTGTTGCTCTACACATGCAGACATTCACACCTGAGCAAGATCACTCTGGGCCTCTGGGACTGCTATGAAAAATTCACCTTGTTCATTGAATTCGTGAATGAACCCATGCTCGAGCACATCTACTCAGCCTCCCAGCTCCATGTCCCCCATGATGCCAGCCTTTTCCTGATGGTGTTCTCAGGCCACCAGGGCCTCCAGATTCGAAGTTGCCTTCTGCCTTCTGTACTGGCAACTGTTTGCCAAGGAGCAGCATAACCTAACTGGCAATGACGTTCTTGTCTCCTGAGATAGCCACACTTCTGCTGTTGGTGATTTCTAGATCTCTATCCAACACTAACCAACTGATGAAAGTTCCAAAGCTCTAACCATCAGCTCTGGAAGCTGAGGAACAAGTTTCAATGAATGACTGCCCTCCATGGCAGGGAGAATGCAAGGCTCAAAGCCAGACAGAGGTCCCCAGAGCCTGGGGAATCAGGGGCTGGTATCCAGGAGGTAAGTGACTAGTTAAAGCAGTGACTTCTCCTGACAGTGCTTCCTGAAATCATCTGCTTTGCCCCTGACTCTGACCTGGGGATCCCAAGTTAAAGGAGAATATTATATACCTTATTGATAGACTGAGTAGGTTTTGTTCTTTGCCAGTTGTGTATGTGATGACAGGAAAGCAATAAGGGCTTTGCGGGCGGTGGTGGGAGGGGGGTTGGAGTTTATAGTTCTAGAAATCAAGGATGACCATAGCACCTGACTTGGGGTTGTTCTGAGGATTTAGGAAGATTGTGAATTAAAATTTGCACAATCAGATCTTGAGGAATTAGGGCCTCAGTGAATTATTATTACTATTCGTATTATTTTATTATAAAACAACTGATCCAGGATATCCACATACTTAAAAATCTCAAATTTGAGCACAATTTGATCTGCCTCACTCTTTTCACTCTCACTTCTTTCCTAAACTAATTGATTTACAAAATCCCATTGTGCTTGACATTGCCTCTGTCACACTCTCAAAATAGAACCCTCACACACAGGGATCCTGTGGAATGATGCATCTGTGACTTCACCAGCATCCTGACATGAGGGCCTCGGAGGACAGGCTGCAGTGCTGTCAGCCTGACTGCCGGTGAGCCAACAATCTGCGCCTGATGATCCTCACAAGCAGAGAAGCAAGCAAAGGTCCCTCTCATTTACCCTTATCTCCTGGCAGTACCTCCCCCCATCTCCCCCACTCCCCTCCCCCTGTACAAAGCAGTCCTCCTTAGCATGGGGGTGAAGGGCTGAGGGCCACGTCACTCACCCTGAGCCCCGAACTGGGTCTCCTGCAGGACGCTGATAATGTCTTCTCTCGGAGGCAAGTTAGGAAATTTTTCTTCCAGGATAGAAAGAATTTCCTCCTGCTTCTCAGAGAGCTTCTCGGATTCCATGGTCATCCACTTGAAAAGGATGCTGCCTGGAAAACATGGGAGGAACAGCAAGTCAGAAAAGGGACCAGGAAAACAATTCATGCTTTCTGCCTTCTCCATCTCGGCTACCCGTTCCGCTCTCCTGTTGACACCAGGTTCCTCCGCCACGTGGTATTTAACAGAGATTTTTTTCCAAATGCTCAGAGACAATTTCTCTCTGTCTCATAGTTCTCTAAAAATTTATCTCCACACCATCACTGACCCCTTGAATATTCTAGGGCACAGTGTTTAATAGTTATAGGAACAAACAGTCTAGCTTCCTCTACCCTCCCCCAAACACACAAAATAAGACAGACTGGTTTTAAATAATTTCAAATTGATCATTAATGCTACACTTTTTAAAACAGTGACTATCATATTATGTTTCTTTTGTATGTGATGCTGGGGCTTAAACCTAAATCAGCTGCCTTCAAAACAAGAGTCTTAGCCTCTTCAGAGCCCCACCAGGAATGATCCCTGAGGGCAGAGCCAGGAATAAGTCCCAAGCACTACAGAGGTGGCCCCAAAAGGAAAGGTGCATCGTTTTGTACCATCTCTTCAACCCTCAGTCCAGTGGGAAAGGTGTCTTGCACACAGCTGACCTGGGTTCTTTCATGTTTGGTTCCCCAAGCATAGAAATGATCCCTAAGCATAGAACCAAGTGCAGCCCAAAACAAAAAAACAACAAAGCAAACTTCTCTCTGACCCTCTATCTGCTCATGTTTTTTAAGTTATACTGATTTTCACAATTTATAAGCTATATTGGAATCAATAAATGAGTTGATTCATCATAACAGAAAGTAAATATTGCCAAATTTATTTCAAAGTTTGTGCATTCATTCCTTCATCAAACAGTTATGTCAAGGTTCATGGGGTGTCAGGGAAATGGCAAAAAGATCATTGGATATGAGAGGTCCATGGTATGTTATATAATCTGCCGCATTATTAAATGAATAATTTTTCATTAGCTCTTATATTTTTATTGCAGTTTAGATAACAGGGCTGTACTAGTGATAACATTGGTAGTTTTTTTTTTTATGTAGGAGTACTGCTATTTATTCAGCCACTGATTAGCTGATTGAATTGTGCATGAACTCCACCTTACTTTTTTTTTCATTTTTTATAATTTTATTTATTGAATCACCGTGAGAGCAGTTACAAAGCTTTTGGGTCTAAGTCTCAGTCATAAAATGAAACACCGTACCTTCACCAGTGCCCATTCTCCACCACCAAAAACCCCAGTATAGCCCAATCCCACACCCTCCCCATACCTGTGGGGCAGATGATTTCCACATTACTCTCTCTCTACTTTGATCACATTCAATATTTTGACTCCAGACCCACAATTATTATTTGAGATTTTACCCCAACACTCAGATCTGCTGAAATGGCAACAGTAGACAATTTGTTTTCTATTGCTGGTTATGAATAACATATGATGTCACGTGGCTGCAGTAGTGGCCACACTATTTTGAAATTCCAAAATTTTAACACTTAAATCTGGAGGGACTTCTACCAAAACCTGCTGGGTTCCGAGATTTGCTCCTGAACATTGATAGTTATTAAAAAAATAATTCTTTAATTAAAGAAACTTGATTTACAAAGTTGAGTTTTAGGAAAAAGTTATGGACAGTTGAGATTTAGGTATATAATATTTCAACTCCAATCCCACCACCAGTGTCAACTTTCCTCCACCAGTGTTCCTATACTCCATCCCTCCCTCCACACACAAACCTTTCCCCTACCTACCCACTGCCTGTCACCTTGAGAAGCATATTACAAAGTTCAGTGGTTGCAAAAATAAGGAACACTTCATAAATTTGCATGTTATACTAGTTCAGGAGTCATGTTAGTTTTCTCTGTATCACTGCAATTTTAGTGTATGTGTTGCCAAAGTGAGCACAACATTTTTAGTTTCAGTGAACAAAATCACTGCACCTCACATCATCCAAGAGCCTGCCACCATCCTGCATGCTGGTCTGCTTCTTCCACTCCCCTCAGCTCTGCTGCTTGGTAACCTCATTTTTGTGACCCAGTACCATAGGTTTGACTTACAGAATTATAGTTTTGTACTTACTAAGTTATATTTTTAGAATAACAGTGTGTGTTATGTAGGAGAATGAGACCCATCATTGTTACTGGTATTTGGCATATTGGGTACGCCACGGAAAGTTTGCCACACGGCAGAGTCTGGCAAACTTTCCGTGGCGTACCCAATATGCCAAATACCAGTAACAATGATGGGTCTCATTCTCCTAAAGAGCCTTGAATATAATCTCAGGGCTAGGATGAAGGAGACGTTACTGGGGCCTGCTCGAGGCAATCGACGAATAACAGGATGGTCGTGATTCGTGAGAATAACAGTAACAATCTAATGGATAGAGAAAAGTAATAACTAAAATATTTTGCTTAAAAGCAGTAAAGGAATGAGAGGAAAGAGCAGAAATGTGACACAATTAGAAACAAATTACAAAATAAAATAGTTAAATTTAAGTGCAAAAGCAATTACACCAAAGTAAAGAGAAAATGAGTGGCAAGTACAGAGTTAAATGTTGTAAAATGCAAATGTTCTACAGTTCTGTTGCACAATAATTGATATACATATATATACATATATACATATGCATCTTTTTTTTTTATAATTTGTATTAGTGAAACACCATGAGGTACAGTTGTAGACTTACAAATTTTTGTGCTTCGGTTTCAATTATACAATGATCAAATACCCATCCCTCCACCAGTGCCCATTTTCCACCACCATGGATCCCAATTTCCCTCCCACCTCCCGTACCCACCATCCCACTCTGCCTCTGTGGCAGGGCATTCCATTTAGTTCTCTCTCTCTCCTTTGGGTGCTGTGGTTTGCAAAAGAGCCGTTAAGTGGAAATCATGTTTGGTCTGCTTTCAGCATGCATCTCCCATCCTGGGAGGATCCTCCCAACACCCTTTACCTGGTGCTCCCTTCTCTATCTGAGATGCCTTTTCCCCTAGCATGTGCGGCTGGCCTCCAAGCCATGGAGTGAACCTCCTGGTACTTATCTCGGTGATTGTTGGGTGTTGGTCTCCTATTTTGTTACTTTATGTACTAAACTGTACACTAATCTGGTTAAGATAACAACTTTAATGTTCCCTTTTTCCTTTACAAGAGAAATTTTGTACTTCTACATCTAAATTAAAGAAAATTGGAAAAAATAAAAAATAAAGAGATAACTATATTGTGGGGAATTTTTGTTAATTAATTTATTTTTTAATTGAATCACCATGAGATACACAGTAACAAAGTTTTTCATGACTGGGTTTTAGTCATACAATGTTCTAACACCTGTCTCTTCATACGTAGCAGGGACTTTTTCAATACGGTCTCTGAAGAGTCATCCAGAGTCTCATGTATGCAAGGCACTGACTCAATTAGTTAGACACACTACTCCCATAGTAGAGAGTGTTAAGGCAAAGACATCCCTCTGAGCCACACTAAGAGCAAACAGAGAAAATAACTGTAAAGATATAAAATATGTAAGGGCTACGATAACAAACTTGTATTTGACATATATTGTACATTTTTATCAGTTATGACTGTCGACAAACCTTTTTTTAGTAAATATGAATCATTTGCCAATTAGAAGCATAAATAAGTTTCAACAAAGCTCAAAAATAGCGACCACAAAGCTACATTCTGTAGCCATTGTGAACTAGTCTGAAAATCAATAATAAACAACTAGAGAATTCCCAAACAAAACAAGGAACTAATTCTCTGGAAGAGTAAATAAGATCAACAAACCCTTAGTGAGACTAATAAGATAGGGGAGAGACAGAAAGAGAGAGAGACAGAGAAAGAGAGAGATTAGAAATGAAAGAGGAGAAATCACAACAGACATCTCAGAATACAAAACATCATAAGAAGGTTATTATGAATAACTCTGTGCCATCAAATTGAGAATCTAGATGAAATGGATGAATCCTAAGAAACATATAACCTTCCAAGACTGAATCATTGAAAGATAATTAAAAGCTTCCCCTAAGAAAAAGTCTAGGTACAGATGGATTCACTAGTGAGTTCTCCTAACTCTTCAAAGCAAATATATACTATTTTTATTACTCTAGCTTTTCCAAACATCAAATAAAACAGAATCCTTTTCAACAACTTCTATGAAGTCGAAACTGGCCTAATACCTAAATCAGACAGAAATGTTACCAAACTACTCCAATTATATCTCCAATAAATATTGATGCAAAAATCCTCAACAAAATCTTAGCAAATCAAACCCAACAACATATAAAAGGATCATATTTGATGATCATGTATGATTCATCCTAGGGATGCTAGAATGCTTCTAACTAGGAATGGGAATGGTGAGATTCTATTTAACACTGAACTGTGAATCCAAGGAAGAGCAATAAACAAGCAATAAACCAAGGAAGAGAAATGAAAGTGACAAGTTGGTAACGTTAATATTTGGAAGCTGTGAAATGAGATTGAGATGCTAGAGACTGCCCACGAATGTACAAATCAGTTTATTAGTGGTCCCTGGTGCCTTCATTCTCAATGGAGGTGCTGCTCCCTCTCTAGCAGAATTGAGGGGAAGAGTCCTTGATTGGCCAATGGCCTTCCTGACTATGTGCTCTTCAGTCTACCCCCTCTTTTACTGTTTCCAAATTGGTGCTTCAGTTTGGAGCCAAAAACTTAAAGGAAAGAAAGTGTTAAAGACTGTGTTTTCTCATAGCTAATGAATGAGGGTGCTTGTATGTAAAATCTCTGTGGAGCAACAGATGAGATTTAAATCACAAGTTCAGAGAGTATGGTGTCGCCAGCAGGTAAACCTGTACCTGCAGAGTGAGTGCATCAGCAGCCTGATGGTGTTTTCAGGCTTCCTGATACCCCAAAATTGCCGCTGTGTCTTTGGCCAGACCCCAACAACTTGGGGCCAAGTTTACCAGGAAATAAAATGGCCAAAAGTTAGGTATGTGGGAGTCATACCCATAATCCACCTCTGGCTCAGTTATACAAGCTCATTTATTGTCCTTATTTCAGAGACCCATAAATCTCGAAAGAGATCAAAAGCCGAAATTAGGGCCGGAAGCGCACTGTGGGTGAGCAGGTATATGCCAATAGCTTATTTCTCTGGAAAAGATGGAAACAAGGATCATGATCCAGAGACACATAAAAAAGAATCTCCAAACCAAGCAGCTTGCTGCAGAGATTTCTCCAGACCACAATTATCTACGATTTTAGAATTCCAAGAGTGATATCTCATGCTATTCATAACAAGCAATACAAAAAAGAGTATGGGGGAGATTGTCTTTCATAGAGGCATTGGGAGGGTTGGGATTGGTAGGGATACTAGGGACTTTGGTGGTGGAAGATGTACACTGGTGGAGGGTTGGGTGATCGATCATTGTATGACTGAAACTCAAACAGGAAGGCTTTGTGACTGTATCTCATAGTGATTAAATAATAATAATAATAATGATGATGATGATGATGTTAACATTTTGAATTAAAAAAGAAGTAATGTGGAGTTCATACCCAGTTCAATTAGCTTAATCAATGGCTGAATAAATAGCAGTACTCCTACATAAAAAAAAAAAGTACATTTAGTGGGGTTGAAAGTCCACAATTCCAAATCTGTTCATCTATGACCACAGTTAGAAAGCAAAGTGCAAAAAGCCTTTAAAAATAGTAATGGCATCAAAACACAAACCATAAAACAGGAAGAAATCCCACAAAAAGTAATGTGTATGGCTGACAGTCACACTGAGAATCTGATCTCTTTCATTCAGGGATCTTTATTCCTATCTTCCTTCCTTTTCCCTTCATTATAGATATTTCAATATTCAAGAGTCTGACATTTGGCTACAGTGGTAGGTGGGGGTGGGGAAGGGGGAGGGGTGGGAGTTGGCAGCAGAGATTACAATAGCAATGCCACTGGGATGGCATTCAAGGTATGGGACCAGAACTCTACAACTGAGTCACATTCCCAATCCCTCATTTGGGACCTTAATACTCAAATATATAAAATCAAAAAGCAGAGTTCATAAATCAATTTAACAGCAGTGCTCTGCATTTAAAAAAGAAAGAAATCAAATAGTTACTGAGTAAAACAGAGTCCTTCAGAATAATTCAATGAAAAGAGATTGCTGCCACTGGCTGATGACCAAGTGTGATATGATAATTAGAAAGGAAATGAACTGGCCAGAAAAATAGTACAGTGGATAGGGCATTTGCCTTGCACACAAATGAACCTGGTTCAATCCCTAGTACTGCATATGGTCCTGAGTAAGGCCAGGAGTGATCTCTGAGCACAGGGCCAGGAGTAAGCCCTGAACAGAGCCTTGTGCCTAAACCTATCCCCCTACCCCTAAAAAAAGAAAAAGTAAAGAAAAAAAGGAGATGAACTGAAATGAAGATGGCAGGAAATAACTCTTGAAAGATGCTCACCTGTCATTTTTACTGCATTAGGAAGATTATAGCCCAACTTAATCTGAGGTACTTATGTTTCTACTTCTTGTTTGAGATCTATTTAGTAACATATGAACTTAAGTTTCAGGGCTGGAGCAAAAGTACAGCAAGTATTGAATACAGCCAACCTAGGTTCTATCTCTGGCATTCGATATGGTTCTCCCAAGCACCACCAGGAGTGATTCCTGAGTACAGAATCAGAAATGAACCCTGAGCACTGCCAGGTGTGGCCCAAAATTCTAACTTTGAAAAAATGAATATATCACTATCAGTCAACAGGCTGGGGTGATAGCACAGTGGTAGGGCATTTACTTTGCATACAGCCGGCCCAGCCAAGCCAGGTTCGATTCCTCTGCCCCTCTCGGAGAGCCCGGCAAGCTACCGAGAGTATCTCTCCCGCACGGCAAAGCCTGACAAGCTGCTCGTGATGTATTCAATATGCCAAA